TTAGTATATCACTGGGCTGGGGGTAGGGGGTGAGGGATGGGGGGGAGGCAGAGGACTGGGCATTAAAAAGAGAGGCAACATAGTCCAGGGGAAGAATTATTGGGCTGGGAGTTTGGAGACCTGGATCACAGTGAAGGGCATTGCTAATAATTTAATAGGTGACTTTAGACAAATCAGTTATCCTCTCTGGACCTTGGCTTCCTCATCAGTAAAGAAAGAGATTTAGACAAGATGGTTTCTCGGGGTGAATTGGTCCAACCAATCTGGGAAATGAATTTGGAATTATACTTTTAAAACACCACAAAACAAAAAAATACCCATTGACCCATCAATATTACTAATACACATATAGTGTAGAGAGACAAATTGGAGGGAATGGTCCCATGTGTATAAAAATTTTTATAGCAGGAAGGAAGAGAGTAGGTGATCATCAGTTAGGGAGTGGCTAAACAAACCATGGTATAAGTATGGTGAATGAGAAATGATGAATGTGAAGAATTCAGAAAAAAATGGGAAGGTAACTGTATGAACAGAGCAGAGAAGAATAAACAGAACTAGAAAGATAATTTATAAGATCAGCACAATAGTAAAGTTAAACACTGAAAAACTTCAGAACTCTTTCATCATTGCAATGTCCCAGTGTGACTTTAGAGGTCTGATGGTGAACTCCTACCTTCTCCATTGAGTATGACATATTTTCAGACATGGGCAGTACATTTTGTTTTTATTGTCTTGTTATGAGAGGGTTCTCTTTTGAGAAAAGGTAGTCATTGGAAAAGTGAGTGATATAAAAACAAAATCAGAAATATTTTTAAAGAAAAAGTGGCTTCCAAAAATTCCTTCCAGCTCGATTTTGTATGATTTTATAAGTCTTACTAGTAATAATCTCACATTTATTCTTTTTTTGTTTTTGTTTTTTTATTTTATTTTTTATATTTATTTATTTTGATTTATCAATAATCACTTCCATATGCTTTTGAGTTTAAAATTTTTCTCCCCCTTCCTCCCCACCACCCTCCCCAAGACGATGCATAATCTGATATAGGCTATACATTTACATTCATATTAAGCATATTTTCACATTAGTGATGTTGTAAGTAAAAATTAAAACCAATAGGAGGAACCATCAGAGAGAGGAAACAAAACTCAACAGAAGAGAAAAAAAATAGCAGTTCAACTTCCATAGTTCTTTCTTTGGATGTGGAAAGCATTTTCCATCACAAGGCCAATGGAAATGTCTTAGATCCTTGTATTGCCAGGAAGGGTTAAGTTTACCAATATTAGTCATCATACAACGTGGCTATTATTGTGTACAACATTCTCTTGGTTCTGCTCACTTCACTCAGCATCAGACCATAAAGTCTTTCCAGGTTTTTCTGAAGTCAGCCTGTTTATCATTTTTTATAGCACGATAGTATTCCATCACATTCATATGCCACAACTTGCTCAGCCATTCCCCAATTGATGGGCCTCAATTTCCAATTCTTTGCCACCACAAAAAGAGCTGCTATGAATATTTTTGTACATGTGGGTCCTTTTCCCATTTGTATGATCTCTTTGGGATATAGCCCTAGAAGTGCTATTGCTGGGTCAAAGGGTATGCACATTTTTTATAGCCCTTTGGGCATAGTTCCAAATTGCTCTCCAAAATGGTTGGATCATTTCTCAACTCCACCACCAATGCATTAGTGTTTTAATTTTCCCACATCTTCTCCAACATTTATCATTTTCCTGTTTTGTCATGTTAGCCAATCTGATAGGTGTGATGTGATACCTCAGAGTTGTTTTAATTTTCATTTCTCTAATCAATAGTGATTTGGAGCATTTTTTCATATGACTACAGATGCCTTTAATTTCTTCATCTGAGAACTGTCTGTTCATGTCCTTTGACCATTTATCAATTGGGGAATGGCTTGTATTCTTATAAATTTGACTTAATTCTCTATATATTTTAGAAATGAGGCCCTTATCAGAGAGACTGGTTGTAAAAATTCTTTCCCAATTTTCTATCTTCCTTCTAATCTTAGTTGCATTGGCTTTGTTTGTGCAAAAACTTTTCAATTTAATGTAATCAAAATTATGTGTTTTGCTTTTTGTAATATTCTCTATCTCCTGTTTGGTCATGAATTCTTCTGTTCTCCATAGATCTGATAGGTAAATTCCTTGCTCTCCCAGTTTGCTTATAGCATCAGCCTTTATATCTAAATCATGAACCCATGTTGACTTTATTTTGGTATATGGTGTGAGATTTTGGTCTATGCCTAGTTTCTACCATACTCTTTTCCAGTTTTCCCAGCAGTTTTTTTCAAAGAGTGGGTTCTTATCCCAAAAACTGGGGTATTTGTGTTTATCAAATAATAGATTACTATAGTCATTGACTACTGTGTCTTGCATATTTAACCTATTCCACTGACCCACCACTCTGTTTCTTAGCCAGTACCAAGCAGTTTTGATGATTGCTGCTTTATAATACAATTCAAGATCTGGAATGGCTAGGCCACCTTCCCCTGCACTGCTTTTCATTAGTTCCCTTGATATTCTGGACCTTTTGTTCTTCCAAATGAATCTTCTTATTTTTTCTAACTCCATAAAATAATTTTTTGGTAGTTTGATCGGTATGGCACTGAATAAGTAAATTAGCTTAGGTAGAATTGTCATTTTATTATATTAGCTCAGCCTACCCATGAGCAACTGATGTTTTTCCAGTTATTTAGATCTGACTTTATTTGTGAGAAAAGTGTTTTGTAATTGTGTTCATAGAGTTCCTGGGTTTGTTTTGGGAGGTAGACTCCTAAATATTTTATAATGTCTACAGTAAGTTTAAATGGAATTTCTCTTTCTATCTCTTGTTGTTGGGCTTTGTTGGTAATATATAGAAATGCCAGTGATTTATGTGGGTTTATTTTCTATCCTGCGACTTTGCTAAAGTTGTTTATTATTTCAAGTAGTTTTTTACTTGATTCTCTAGGATTCTCTAAGTATAAAGAGTGATAGCTTTGTTTCTTCTTTGCCTATTCTAATATCTTCAATTTCTTTTTCTTCTCTTATTGCTAAAGCTAATGTTTCCAGTATGATATTGAGTAACAGTGGTGATAATGGACATCCTTGTCACATTTATTTTTTTTTCCAAAGCCTTTTTACACACCCATGGTATCATTTGATCCTAATAACTCCACCTTGATGCAGGCAGGAATTATTAACCCAGTGCTGCCACCAACCTGGGGCAAACCACTTTCTCTCTCAGGTCCTAGTTATCCAGGCCCTTCCTGCTGAATGTTCTTTTCTCAGGCCACATTTTTCTCAATGTTTTGCAATGTTGGGATGGCTGGGTGGCACAATGGCTAGAGTGCTGAGCCTGAAGTTGGGAAGACTCATTTTCCTGAGTTCACATCTGGCCTCAGACATTTACTAGCTGTGTGACCCTGGGCAAGTCACTTAGCCCTGTCTGCTTAAGTTCCCCATCTATAAAATGATCTGGAGAAGGAAATGGCAAACCACTCCTGAATCTTTGCCAGGGAAACAGTCAGACATGACTGAAACGACTGAACAATAATAAACAACCTGCAGTGTTGACCTGTCAACTGCCTTCTCATCCCACAAATTTTCCTCTGTGGGTTTTCACAACATTCTCTAGTTCTTCTCCTACTTGCACTCCTCAGTCTCCTTTGTAAGATTATTGTCCATGTCCTACCCCACTGTGAGGGGGTACCCCTGGGCTTATTCTGAGCCCTCTTCTATTCTTTCTCTATCAGCTTCATCAACTCCTACAGGTTCAACCATCGTATTTATGCAAATGACTCCCAAATCTACATATCCAGTGCACATGGTTCCCAATCTCCCAACTGGCAGTCACATCTCCACTTGCATATTCCATGTGTCTTAAACATCCAAAACTGAACTTAATATTCTTCCTTCTCCCACAGAACTACTAGAGCCCCAGCTTGCTGATCATCCTAAGGCCTGACTTAGCATCCCTGTTTCTATCCAGATAATCACTCAAGTCAATTCTTTACTTTACACTCTCCTTCACTCCAAATCCCACCATTTGTCAAGTCTTGTCAGTTCAACTTGCCCCACCTCTCTCTCATCCATCACCTCTCCATTCACACGGCCACCATTGTAGTTTAGGCCCTTATGGGTCTCCTTGGTTCCAGTCTGTCACTCTTCCATTCTGTCTCCTCCGGTTACCAAATTGATATTGCTAAAACACAGGTCTGACTGTGTCACTTCCTTGCTCAAGAAGTTTCAGTAATTCCCTATTACCTTCTTGTTTGGCATGTAAAACCAACATGGTTCTAATTTAGCTTTCCAAACAGATTTCACATTCCTTCTCCACTCATTGTAGGTAGAATTAAAGCTGGAAGAGACCTTGTCAGTCAGAGTTCAATCCCCTCCTTTTACAAGTCAGTTGAGGCATAGGATCAGTGAGATTTGAACCCATGTCTTCCTGACTGCAGGTCCAGCATTTCATCTGCTACCACGCTGCCTTTGCATTCTATGATCCTGCCAAGCTAGGTTACTTGCTGATCCCCATAAACAACATTCCATCTGGTGTCTCCGTGCTTTTGCACAGATTGTCCCTCAATTCTGGAACGTCCTACCTCTTCATCTGCCTTTTGGAAGCCTTACCTTTCTATAAAAGGCATTTCCTGCTTCCCCCCCATTCTATTAGTGTTCTTTTGCCACTCCCCCAATTAATTTATTTTGTATATATTTCATATTTATCTGTTTATGTGAATGGTTTAGCTTTTGTCTTTCTATCTCCAGCCCCTACCTGGTCTATAAGTAAATGCTTGTTAAATTGATTTATAGTGCCCTGGGATTTTATAACTACATACAAGTTTGAGTAATCTCTCCCAACCCCCTCAAAAAAAGAAAAAAACAGCCAAAAAGGAGGGAGGTGGAAACCTCCATTAACAACAGTGGAAGACATTTTATTTTTAAAATCATCTCTTATCACTTCACCTATCTTGGTAGAAATCAAATGCAAAACACCTCCATTTAAAAGTCAGATATGCTTTTACTGTCTCAATCACAGCAACCTGGTACAATAAGATACACAAACTGGTAGAGTGGAAGGTCAGAGTACTTGCAATTCAGTAGTTTTGAACAACAGTATTTCCATGACAATATGTATTATATACCAGACTTTATTAATGCAGTCATCCGGGCTAAAGTTCACCATCTAAGTCACGTGGCTTCACAGTTTGTTAGGAAATTTGCAGTAGGCAGTCTGGACGTGGGTTGAGAGAACTAGAGACCTCAGAAATAGGATAGGCATGACTCTCCAGAATGAAGTAGCTAATCTCAGTAGTGAAATTCTTTAAAATTCAACTTTATATACAGTGTTATCTACACATCATCTATCAGATATATGTGTGTACATATGTATATATAGAGAAAGAGAGAGAGAGAGAGAGAGATAGTGATTTTAAAAAGTCAAATGATTGGGAAAAAAATCATTCAGCCGAGCTTGGAGGTCAATAAGTTAACAATGACCACCACGTCCAGCCAAATTCAGATTTGTTCCCCCTCCCCCACTTTTTCTTTTTAATCCAAATGTCTCTTTTTTTGCTTTGCTCTTAGAAATACATTTGGTAAGGTCCCAAAAGATTTGTACATTTGACAGACTTATGGCTAAAGTAATTTTGCATGTCCATAAATAAGCTATTTGGAATTTCTTTTCCCCCATTCCCTTCTCACCTCAAAGCAAAATTTAAAAGTAAGTTGGTTGGTCATTCATTGCATGAGTCAGGAGTTAAAGGTGTCCTTCAATTGGAGGGAGTTTTAGGACTGGCCAAGCATACATAAAAATACCTAGTAAGCAATCAGTTTCTGGCCATTTTAAGTGAAAAGTTATCTCAAACTGTCTCACATTTTGAAAATTGAGACTAAAGATATGTGGGGGGATGGGAGGCAGAGAGAGAGTGAATTAAAAGGAATGACTAAGTTACATTTCCTTCAGAAACAAGACCTAGACAATTAGGATGGTCAGGTCCAACTTTTGTGCTAGAGACCAGAGGGACACAGTGAAGTCCTGAGGAGAAGGCCCTTAGTGTGGCCTCTAAATTTATGAGGGTAGTACTACAGTCTACAGGGGCAAAGCCTCACTGCTAAGTCTGCACTAACCCCCAGGATGTGCAAATGGGAGGTAGGTATCTATATGTACACAGTATATACATTTTTAAAAGGGAAGACAACAGCTTAGTTACCTCTACTGACTCAAAAAAAAGGAACCCATCTTCAATATTCCTTCCCACTACTAACAGCTTCATCCAGGGAACATTAGGAAGCTAAGAGCTAAATGTAAACCAAACCAACACAAGAGCCCCTATTTCCACCCCCCCAAGATGAAAACAAACAAAAAAAAACAGGGAGAAGTTATAAATAGCCAGATAATGATTGTTACTACTTTTAAGCACACAACAAGGAATATATTTATTAAAAAATAAAACTTTTCAAGTCACCTATTTACAGTACAAAGAAGAGAGTCAATACGTGTGCAACAGAAAGGAATTAAAATCAGGCCTCTTTTGGATGGCTGCAACGCAAATGTCATGTCAACAAGTCCACTAATACTGTACAGTACACTAGAGGAAGCTATTGGCAGTACTACAAAAATCAAGCATGACTGTCTTCTGTTCAGACTTTGAAACCAGAGAGCCAAATATGAGGGGGCACCAGAAAGCCCACTCGGGGATCTTGGTGATTATTTAAAACATTATCTTTGTGTGTGAGGGGAGGTGGTTAGATATTTCAGGAAGCACTTTGAGATAAACCTCTGTGGGCAGCAGTAGAACTCCTAGGAGATGCTGCTGTGAAAGAATGCTCTGCTTTCAAAAACCTTTCACTAGTCCCTGGAATGGGATCCATGAATCTTTGTGACTGTCCCTCCCCAGCCCACTGCAGCTCATCAGTGGGGTAGCTGGGGAGTTGTTTGAAAACCTCACGTATCAAACGCCTTTAAAAAACAAAACTGAGCGGGAGTGGGGGTGGGGGTGGGGATGGGGTGCATATAAGAGAACTAGCAAGTCCAAGTGCCGAACTGGAGAGGAAGCCTTGTTGGTCCTCTCCCCCTTATCAAATCACAAAGCATCCACTGCTGGAAAGCTCTGACAGCAGTGTGGATCCCAAGGTGTGTATAGCAAGGATGAGGACACAAAAACACCGACAACAGAGGGGTGAAATGTCATTCCCCATAGGTCAGCATAGCTCCACTTCCGAGGTCAGCGTACGACTTCACCGAGGAAGTCACAAAGTATAGTTTTAGCCCTTTGTGCAGAATATAAGAGTTCGAGTCTATCTATACACAAAATGGGAGAACTGGGGTGACTTATAGTTGAGCTGACTGTTAGGCATGAATTTGTGTTGCTCACTTTTTTTGCAGCATGGATCGTAGTGGTAAGCAGTGAGGCAGGTATCGCATGAGACTTTTGAACAGATTGCACATGTGTTAGAGGCCCCTGACCGGTTGCAAAAGCCACAACGAGATGCAGCTGTAGCCTTGGATTTTGAGTGGAGGTGAGATGCCCTTTCGGGGCCCTGAGTCTGTGCCATGTACAGAGACTTCTCCCTCAGAGTAGCCCCATGGGATAAACCTTCATGGGGGCCTGATTTTATGGGGAAGTTGTTCTGTTTGGTGACAGGATAGTCCTGCCGACATGTGAGTACAGTTTCACACCGCTGGCAGAGTGAGGAGCCACATGTGAGGCCACAGCTTTGGCACTTGGAAGAGGTGGTCTCTTTGGCGGGATGTGTACGCTTATGATAAAGGGGATTGGAGTCATTTCGGAGTACCCACACATCTGGCTTGAGAGAATCTGGTCTCCTATATGTACCCCTGGAATCTGAATCTGTGTAAAGGTCTAGGTCATCTTGGGGGGAAAAATAGGTGTTATAAGGAGGGATGGTTCGTAACATGCCATTGGGATTTGAAGAAAGGGGCACAAAGTCCTCAGAGCAGCCACGTGGGGAGCTGGACATGGTCAGGAGAGAGGGAGACGGTCGAATAATTTCATCTTTGATGTCATCTTCCACATCTACTACTGCAGGCTCCTTCCTGAGGCTAAGCGAAGTCATCAGCGGTGGCTTCTTACTCTCCCAGTAATTATCATAAGTGTCCATGGACTTGGAAGGCTTATTCACTTTGGGCTTGAAGTAATCTTTTGCTGCTCTCTCACTGGCTGATTTCTGAAGGGCCATCCGTGCCATAGAAGCAGTGAGGTTCTCCTTACACTCCACCCGCCTCTTCATGGCATCTGAGCAGCCCCTCACATCTTCACTGCTGTGTTTACGCTCATTCACCACATCCAGCTCTGAGTAACCCTTGTCCTTCACCTGGGAGTGTATCTCAAGCAATTGCTCACATTCTACTTTGGCCAAAAAAAGCTCAAAAGAGACCATTTTCACCTGCAAAGTTTCTACCAGTTCTTTGAGCCTGTATGCACTTCCAAGATCCTGGACATAGCCCATGTAATTCAGGATGACTCTGATGTCTTCTTCCAGTAATGTTGATTTCACATAATAAACAAAAGGTCCTGTGTAGGTCTAGAAGAGAGGGAAAAAAATCCAGTATTTTCCCTTTAGTATACACAAAATGGAAAACAATTCCCATTTAACTATAATATAGACCATGTGGGGAAAAGGGATTACTTCACTAGACTCATGCTCTAGGAGACCGAAATTAATGTTTACTAATATCCAAGACACTAGTATGAGGGAAATTCCACATCTACTCTCTGAAAATTCAGGAGGAGAACTGATGATTTTGTGGGGCTGGGGCTTTCTACCAACAGAGAAAACAGTGGTGAATAACAAAGAAGAGTAGATTCAGAGGAGAAAATCCAATGATAAACAATTCTTTCTTGGTTTCCATTAATATGAAACAATACCATTGACCCATTTCACCTGGTAAATTATTTGAATATTCTCACAGAAAGACTTAATACAGACCCTTGAGTCCGAATTACCATCTAACTCAGTGCTACATTCAGAAAGATTTCTGAAGAATCAATCTGGGGTCTATCTACAATACAGAAATCTGGTTCAAACCACAATAAGTAGAATATTGGATTAGAAATAAAATGATTCAGTTCCTAGTTCTGGCTGTATTTATTGTGTAAGCATAGGTAAGTCATTTGACCTCTTTGGAGGTTGTTACTTCCTCTGTAAAAAGAAGCGGGGTAGGGACTAGACTACCAAACTTTATTGTACTTCAGGACTTTTAGGTAATGTGAATGAGTGATTTGGGAAATATGGAATTACCCTCACCCACCTCCAAAAAAGTCCCATCCCACGCCCCCCTTCAAAAGCCCATTAGCACACACTCTAAATCATAGAAGCCATTGGCACAAACTTTTGCTGACAAGCCAGTTAAATTCTCCTGCCAGAACCCCAACCATCTGGTAGAGTACATCATGAAAGATACAATAATGTAGCGAAAAGGAAGATTTTATTTGAAGTAAAGAGGCCTGAGTTCAAAAGTCATTTCACAACTATAAGCCTCAGTTTCCTCATCTGTAAAATGAGGATAAGAGTATTTGCATCATCATTTGCCTCACAGGGTTGTTATAATTCTTAAAACACTAGAGCAATGCCAGTTACTCATATCATCCATTCAAAAGTTTTAGTTTAATTGCACAAAGGTTCTGAGGCACCAAGTATATAGGTGGTACCAGTCAGTGGATGCCATGATTGCTGGTTCTACATCTTTCTCAGGCATTAAGGCCAGTGGAAGATAGAACAACACTTGACGGTCATTTATTCTTTGTAGTCTATGTTCATCAGAGGTTTTGGGGGGGTGGGTGGAGAGAAGAGGGGCTGGCTGGCAACTAGTTCAAGTCCCTCATTGAAAAACTGAGGGAAAACTAAGCCCGAGAGGGAAGGCGCTTGCCTAAAGTCACACAGATAATAATTAACAGAGTTGAGATTCAAACTTAGTTCCCTTGATTCCAAACCCAGGGTTCCATTCACTACACCACTGGGCCCAAGAAGAAAAAAAAGAAACCCTCAAGCAATTTACTCTTTGCTTAATGGTAAAAACACAGATCATTACAGCTGGAAAGAGATTATCTGTTCCAATACCCTTATTTTACAGATAAGTGAGGCCAGAAAGAGGAAGTAACCTAAGTGGTCACTATGCTAGTTATGGCAGGCATAGGACTCAAACGTAGGTCTTCCGATTCCTAGTCTAAGCCTTATTCCACTATAGTAGGCCTCCATAACTTTAGGGAAACATTATTGGAGATGGATGTAGTCCCAGAGAAGAATCTTCCCTACAGCCTACTTTATTTAAACTACAGGAAAGCACTTCTAAGTATGCCTTACTTTAATACTTTTGAATTCCTTCTTCCAAGGGTAAAGGAAGAGGTTGATTCCCACTGTCTCCAGCATGTTGAATGCGCTGTGGAGAGTCCGCAAGTTAGAGGACCTCAGTGAGCGAAGGGAGCTCTCAACCACCTCATAAAATTTGATCAGCCGGAATCTATAAAAGGGCTCGATCTTATGCAGACTGAGTACGGCCGAGGCCGCCACCCGGAGGTACTCATCATTGACAGGTCGCTGCTTAGCGCTGGAGGCATCCACTTTGGCCTCATGAAACTGCACGTACTTCCTGAATAAGTCGTCTTTATATTTTGTATCCATTGAAATCAGCTTTCCTAGAACATTCCCAGGTAGCAGCTACCTCATCTCTTCCATGGCTTTTCTCCTGGGGGCATGGCAATCTTAAAGGGCACTGGCATTTTACCTTTCTTGGACAATTGTGGTTTCTGGAAGAGGAGAAACAAAAAAATATTAGTAGTGTTTCCACATGATCATTCATAAACCAAGTTTCTGAGAAATAAGTCTTCCCTCATCCTGTTCCATCATCAGCTATTGTTATTATTGCTAATAAGGACATTCATTTAAACATTTATAAGCATCTTCTATGCACAGAACATTGTGCTAGGAGATGCACAAAGTTCAGATTGGACAGTTACTGCTGCCTCATGTAAAACTTACAATTTAGTCATTTGGAAACAATTTTGAAAATTATATGCCAAGCAATAAATATCTGAAATAATCTCAGTTAAAAAAAATTTTTTTTTTCGGTTAAGCTTTAGAACTATAGCATTTGATCCAAATAACGGAAATTCTTTTTTCTTCCTATAAGTGGTTTGTTAACCATAAAGTAATACATAAATATACCATTTCAATGACCTTTCATTACATCTTGTGGTAAAAGCAGCATTATCTCCATTTTGCAGATAAGAAACCTAGAGTTCAAAAGGATAAATGACTTGTCCAAAATCATACAGCTAAGTAAATGGTAGGACTCATACCCAGGCCTGATTCCAAATCCAATGCTTTCTGGCCTTGATGTGGACTACAAAATGCTTTAATAATTATATTGAATTTAATGAGTATGTTGGAGAGTCTTAGGGTTCTGAGGATAGATATAAAAACCAAAACTAATTTCCTGTAGAACCCAGCCAAACTGATCTTATCTTCTGAATTTTGAATGCAATGCCAGTTTTCTTAAATATTCTTGAAAGCAAGAAAAATTAGATGCTAATATCAACATCACTTTAAAAAGCTTATACTTATTTATCTTTAATCTATTTAACACTCCATTTAATTCTACTCTAATGCCTCATTGTGGAATAAGAAATGATTCTAGGTTCTCAAAGGCTTTATCAGGGAGTACAGGTTCTGGCAGGTTCTACTATGCTAGAAAGGCTTCAGATATGGTTCAAGTAACAAACTACCTGATGTTCAGTCTGGACAAGTATGAAGAAGCTCACTGGCAGGATACTGGCCACTCAATAATGAATTTTTTGACCATGGCAATCCGTGAAACAAACACACACATACAAAATGGTACTCAGTCCTATGTAGATCCCCTCCTCCCACCCTGTAAAAAGAGAAAGTGTCACTGATAGAAAATGGAACAGAGGATTCTAAGAATAATGTAATTTTTAGACATATATAACGATTAGCTTAGCTGCTGGTACTACAAAATATGAAATTCTCATCCAGTAATCAGTGAGTGGACTTATTATTGGAGGAACTGAATTACATCAATTATGACATTCTCACTACAGGGAAGTTATAGCTAAATAGAAAGCTGGCAAATAAAAGAGTTAGTAAAGTTGATTTTACACCAGTTAGTGAAAGCTGGTTTTACCCCATATCCAAAATCAATAAGAAAACATCATGGGATGTCTGGTCATGATCTGCCACAATGCTTGTACTTGGTATTTGTAAAAAAAGACCCTCATGAAAATAACCACATCTCACATGCCAATATATTTTGCTGAAGATGAAGACAAAGAAAAATTCTACAAAGAACTTACTAAGACCTTCTAAATTAAAATTAACATACTTTGATACCTGATGTCTAATGCAAAAGTGGCCACTAAAAAGACAGGCAACATAGGTGGTTTGCGAGTAAATTAGGTGAGCAAGAAATGAGAGGCAATAGAAGTCTCACAAGTATTTTATTCAAGAAAAGTATCAGGAGGCATTGAACATGGCAAGCACCAAGTAAACATCAAAAAGCAAAAAACAATTAAAACAATTCCAATTTAACTACTGAAATAAGCTGCTGATGTGGAAGTCTAGGACCCAAATGAAGGAATGGCCATTGACACAAATTATAAACATTTTGTAAAGAACTCTAACAATTAAGTCAATTGTCATAATAGAAAAAAAAAAACCCCAACCAACACCCACCTCATCCTGTACGTCTAGTTTCCTTGTTAGGTGGAGAGAGGTTTAAAATATAAATTCTTTTGTAAAATCTTATGGAGGAGGATGATGTGTACTATCACCTCATAAAACACAAAATAACAGTGGAAGGAAAAAAAAATTTAAACAAAGTCTAAAGAGAGAAAGAGACAACTATGCAAAGTCATCCCAAGGGCAGGTAAGCATGAAATGGGAAGAGACAGAAAAATAGATGAAAAATAGAAAAGAGCTGTGAAAATTTTTATGATAAACTCTGTTCACTGTTATGGATTGTGAAGCCACAACATTTGAACTCTGACATCAGAGTCCTGGATGTGCTAGAGAAAGAAGTGGAAATTGCACTGAGGAAAACAAAGATGGAAAAAGCTGCTAGAAAAGAATATAGGTATTCATACTAGTGAAAAAGTGTTAAAGAGATCAATTATGATCTGAAAGATAACAAAAGTATGGGGGGGGATTAGACCTTAATACCCCCCCAAAAGTAAAGATCATCAATAATTAGCAACCCAAATACCTTTTTTCCCCCATCTACGCAAAATTTTGTGAGAATAGACATTCATCAAGCACATCCTGGATGAAAATATGAGAAAAGAACAGACAGGTTTTGACAGTATTCTAAAACAGGCAATTTATAGTGACACAATTGACTGAAAAGTGTAGAGAATACAAAATTCCACCATCCTTACTGTTTACAGACTATAAAAAAGCCTCAAATTTGATCAAATAAAACACTACCTTTATAGGCTTCCTTTCAGTAAAGTATCTTCTATCAATGTCAAAATACTAGAATATTACTTGCAAAATATAACAGATAACTTTGTTCAGCAAACCTGTTATTATTAATTTCAAGGAAGATATAAAACAGGGAGATGTATATTCTCTAAAGGTGTTCATCACTGTCCTGGAGTTTGGCACAAAGTACAAGTCAAAGAGGGATTCTGGAAGGTGAGGACCTTTCAAATGCTCCTGTTTGCCAGTCCCCTTCATTGGTTCATAATGAACTAATTTCCTACCCTTTAACCAAGGGGCTCTATGCTGGACCCTCTTATTTCCTCTTTATATAAGTTCTCTCAGTGATCTCATCACCTTCCACTGGTTCACTTATCACCTCTCCGGAGGTAACCCTCGGATCTATATATGTCCATTTCTAATCTCTCCTTGAGTTTCAGTCCTATTTTTATCACCAAGGATCCTTTAAACATCTCCAACTGGTTCTCCTGTAAGTACCTCAAGCAACACATACAAAAAATGAAACTGATTATTATTCATTCCTATACCTGACTTTCCTCCAAAGTTACCTATTTTGGTAAAGGATACCACTATCCTCCTAGTCACCCAAGTTTTCAACTTTGGAGTCACTGAGATTCTTACCACTGTCATTCCCCACCCCACTAAATACAATCAGTTGTCAAGTCTTAGTCAGTTTTACATCTACATCACAGACTTGGATCTAGAAGGGATCTTGGAGCTAGTATCTAGACCAACCCCCTCACTCTAAAGCTCTGGAAACTGGGGCAGGGTGGATAAATAACTTGCCCAAGTTTACAGTGGTGATAAGGAGCAGAGAGAGGATTTAAACTCAGGTCCTTTGGTTCCAGAGCTCTCCCCATTACTCTCTCAGCTGAAAACCTTACACTTTATATTTCACTGAAAAAACTGAGGCCGTGGATGAGAGCTACCATTTCTCTTGTTCCTTATCTCACATCATTCAGATGCCTTCTGCCACTATTTCCTCCTTCACCTGTTTCACATGAAAAAGTGGCCTTTCTCTTTGCCAAGGCAAATCTCTCTACATTCACAAGTGATTCTATTCCATCCTATCTTCCCCAGTAAATTGTCCCTTCTATCATCTGCACACTCTCACCTATTTCTAATCTTTCTCTAATGACTGTCCCATATCTCCCCCATTCTCAAAAAAAAAATCATCCCTTGATCTGTCCATCCCCCACTAGCTATCATCCTATAGATCTCTCCTCCCTTTTGTAATCAAACTTGAGAAGGCCTTCTACAATTGGTTCCCTTACTTCCTTTCCTCTCACTCTCTTAACTCATTACAGTTTGGCTTCCAAACTCATCATTTAACTTGAACTGCTCTGTACAAGGTATGATCTTTTCATTGCCAAATCTAATGGCCTTTTCTCAATCCTCATCCTTGACCTCTCTGCAGCCTGCTGATCACTCTCTTCTTCTTGATACCCTCTTCTCTCAGTTTTCATGACACTGCTCTCTCCTGGTTCTTCTACCTGTTTTCTCCTCTGTCTTCTTTGCTGGATCTAGCATGCATGTCATGCTTGCTAATGGGGGTGGAGGTCCCTCAAGGCTCTGTGCTGGGTTCTCTTCTCATCTCTATATTACTTCAACTGGTGATCTCATCAGCTACCATGATTTAGTTAACATCTCTATGCAGATGATTCTCAGATCTATTTGTCCAGCCCTAACTTCTCTCCAGACTTCCATCACATCTCCAACTTCCTACTGGAAATCTTGAGTTGGATGTTCCATAGATATCAAAAATTCAACACATCTAAAATTGAACTTACCTCCCTTACCCTTCCCTAATCCTAACTTCCCTATTACTGACAAGAGTATTACCATCCTCCCAAGTCACTTAGGTGTCATCCATAATTCTTCTCTCTCATCTCCTATATCTAATTAGTGGTCAAGTCGTGTCGATTCTACCTTTGTAACATCTCTCCTGTACGCCCCTCTTATATGCTCTGACACTTCAGACCCTCATGCCTCATGCTTGCACTACCTACAATAGTCTGCTGCTTGGTCTTCCTGCATTGTCCCGGCCCCAACTCTAATCCATCTTCCACTCTGCTGTCTAGCTGATCTTTTTAAAATGCAGATCTTATCAAAACATTCCCCTATTCAATAAACTCCAGTGGCTTGCTATTAACTCCAGAATGACAACTATAAGATCATTTGTTTAGCTTTTAAAGCCATTTGTAACCTATTTCCTTCTTACCTTTCTGGTCTTCTTGCACTTAGAGTACTCCCCTCCACATTCTCTACAATCCAGTGACACCATTCTCCTTTTGGTTCCTCAAACACTCCATCTCCTGACTGAGCATTTTGACTGGCTGTCCCCCATCCCTGAAACTCAATTCCCTGGCTTCCTTCAAATCTCAGCTAAAGGCCACCCTTCTGCAACTTGCTCTTCTCAGTCCTCTAATCTCTGTACTTTCCCTCTGAAATTATCCCCAATTTATCCTATGTATACCTTGTATTTATGTGGTTGTTCGCATGTTGTCTCCCTGATTAAACTGTAAAATCCTTGAGGGCAGCGACTGTTTTCTACCTTTCTTTGTATCCCCAGTGCTTAGCATAGAACCTGGCCCACAGCAGGTGTTTAATAAATGATAGTTGACGGATTGACACTGTACCGATTGCAGCAAAATTTACCTAGAAAATGCAGAATCTCCTAAATTAAGATCTGAAAATACTCAACGAGTAACCATCCACATAGGAAAAACCAAATACATGAAGAATGTCTATTGTTCAGACTATATACTATGCAGTTGGATGGGCCATTTATACAGCTTGTCCATCTGTACATATCTCTTGGACAAAGCAAATGGACCATGATTTGAGCTCAGAAAAGAATAGAAAGAACTATTTAGTTTCCCAAAGGCAAGCTGCATATTCCTTTTAATGAACCCCAAGCATCTTCCTAAAACAGTCCATCTTTTTAACACCAATATTCCTCCTGTGATGCTAGATAGCTGAGTCACAGAATATTGCAATTTTTGATGAACTAGAAGAAGGATCACCCCAAAGGGCAATGGCGGTTACCCAATCGTGTATGATGGGCATGAGCAGGCTGTGACACTACAATTCAACAAATATTAAGGCTTAACTATGTTACAGGCACTGTGATAAGTGCTGAATATCCACAATAAAGGGATAGGACATGGATGATGCAACAAAGGATGCTGAGATGGAGTAGTCGAACAGATTAAGAGGATAATAAAGAGTGGTGGCACTGAAGACCACATAAGATAAAGTGCCCCAAAGGAGGTTGTAGACAATATAACTAAACTACAGAAGTGAAAATAAAACAGAGAACGAGGACAACAAGGACAGAGAAAAGGCCATTAGATTGAACAGTTAAGAGATCACTGGTAACCTTGGAGAAAGAGGCTTCAGTTGAGTAGTGAGATCAGAAGTCAGACTGCAAGGGACTGAAGAGAAGGAGGAATTCTTCAGGAAAAGTGACATAAAAGGATATCATAAGAGAAATGCATGACCAAAAGGGGGGGGAAAGATGGGCTAGTCACATAGCCACAGGAAAAGACAACTGACAAATAATTCATTCAATCAAGAGAACAAGGTAAAGCTCACTGAGAGGCCCTCTGGGATGAACTTACCAAAGGACATAAACATAAATTGCATTAATTTATTAATGCAATTAAATAAACTATTAAAGTATTTACTTATATAATTTATCTAAAAAAATTTCATAAGCTGCCTACTAGATCCAACAGACGACTTTTTCGGATGTATTTATACATTTTAACTGAAGGATTGAAAACCTATTAAAGAGTCACTTAAGCTTCTTCTTAAAGTTCATATCTGCTCTAAACCAAGTAAACAAAAGCTAAAACCCAGACTCCTTCAAACAGAGACCACAAACTTGTGTTTTCTACATAGGCTAATTGTTTTTAGCTATAAAACAGTCCACATATGTAGAATGCACATCAACATTAATAAGTAATGAAAAAAAGGCATTTGGCATGTAAAACAATCTTTGGCTATCATTCTTAATCACACAATTCACGATACAGAAGTCGTGGAAGAAGAGCTGGACTGGGAGGCAGGGTTCCAGTACAATTTCTGCTATTAATTAGCTGGGTGATTTTGAGCAACTTTTCTAGCAACATTTCCTCCGCTATAAAATGAGAAGGTTGGACTAGATAATCGAAGGGCTCCTACAGCTCTAACATTTAGGAGTGAATTCATTTTAAATTGGGAGCCAAAGGAATAAACTGGCAGCTTGTGGTACAATGGATTGCTGGGCCTGGAGTGACCCAAGTTCAAATCTGGCCTCAGACACTTAGCTATGTGACCCTGGGCAAATCACCTAGGACCTCTGCATACCTCAGTTTCTCCAACTGTAAACCAGGGATAATAATTGTACCCACCTTTGAAGCATTGCTGTGAAGATTAAGTAAGATAATATTTATAAAAAGCCCTTAATACAGTGCCTGGCACATAGTAGGCACTATATACAAACTTATACTCTTCCCCTCCCCTAAGCTGGGTAGATCATCCCTCAGCCTTTTTCCTCTTCTACAAAATGAGAGAAGTAGGAAGATGAACTTTAAAGTCCCTGTCTGTCTCCAAATCTATGATTCTATGGCTCCTAATTTTGTTTAAATATGGTTACAAAATTTTAGTTGCCTTTAAAATTGATAAATTAAGCAAGCTCAATTTAGAAGGGCTATTATGTTGGAAAAGTCCACACAGGTATAATCAAATTCCAAAAATAAAATTCTACTGAAAGTATTTCTGCCTTCTGGCTCAGTGCGAGAATAGAACAAATTCTTTCCCTCTTTCATTCCTTTAGTACCCCCTCTTCTCCTCAATGAGAAAAGGTAAACCCTTTTTTATGGGAGCGGGGGCCCAAAGACCAAGACTAATTAGCTTTAGAATTCACACTGGCAGCTAGCTCCTCCATGCCATAAAAGGAATAAAGATTGCATCGTCCCTGGTCACAGCAAAAGCTTTTTCTGAGCATAATGTTTGCATTTTATTCATTTCCAGCCAGTATTCCCAGCACTTTGAGAACTGAACAAAATTATACGCTATGCAAAGCAGCACAGTTATAGCAGACTAAGGCAGCCCAGCTGCAGTAGCAGTTAATTTATCAAAGCAATTTGAGGATCAGGATGCAAACACTTGTCACTCTCCCAAAAGCCTCAACTGTAAATATTCCTAAAGCAGTCTGACAGCTGCAAGAAGGTAAAGTGCCCAGTCAGCATAAACAATGCTTCAAAATAAAGTCCCTTTTTGAAAAAAGCAAAATGCCAATTAGAGGTTCTGCAGCTCTACCAGGATTTTTTAATCACCTCAATGGAAAGGTATGTTGGTTGAAAGCCAAAATCATTTCAAGTAATTATCGTGGTCAAATAAGCATTAGTTCACCCTCAGCTCAGTGAGCCCATTCAAGCACAAACATTTTCAGAGGCAGCATGGTGAAAGCACACCATTAACCACAGAGAAAAGAGAACAGTTATTTCTATCACATTTCACCCTAAAGTCACAGGATAGAGCAACTTCATACTGGCATAACTTCATAGGAATTTCTTCAGTACAGATACAATGGAAGAGAGACCAGTTCTTATACTCTTCTGATGGGATTCCCAAAAGGAAACTAGTACAACTCAAGCAAATCCACAGGGCCCCTTCCACTGACAGCGAACATTGAAAGACTTGCTTGGATTCAACCTAGCCCATCCGTTCTTCTTCCTTTCAAAATGAATCCAAAGTACCAGTAAGTACCCAGATTTCTGAACCTCAGAATGAGATCTGCATTGCTAAAAGTTGGCCTTTTCCTGTTTAACAGCAGCTAGCTCCTTGTGCTACTAGGAAGGAGGCACCCTGAAGCCACTTCCCTTGAATGGAAAAGGACTGGAAGAATTGCCTAAGGAATCTCTTTTTGTCTCCAAACTTCTAGGTCTCCGTGGGTCTTAGACACAGCCTTAACAACGTATGCAAGGGTATCCTCATCCGTCTCAGAACCTGCAGATCAATCTCTGACTATGCTGCTCTTAAAAGTAGCTACCTTGCTGTTTACAATACTGAGATTCCTCACCTACTTGTCACTGAGTAGAATTTATCTTGATGCCTGGAGCTACCTTTTTACCCCAAGCCAAACTCCCCTGGTTTTATTTCTAAGCTGTTTTTTTCCCTCCCTCCAGAAGACACTGGAGGAAGACAACTACCCGGGCTTCTGGAAATACTACACTTAGACAAAGCCACGAAAATAAGACGGTGACCACGTTCCAGGGCAAATTAAGTACTACATAAAAGGACCTTAAGAACTGAGGTGGCAGATATATGTATGTATGTATGTATGTATGTATGTATACACACACCCTAATTTTCATAGATAACCTAGAAATTTACAAAATCAAGTCCCGGTATGTTCTCCCAGCCCCACAACTTATCTTCCTCCAAAAAAACCCTCTCTTTTCCCCGCCCCCCTCTCCCCTTTGCAGCAATCTCAGCTCCAGCCCTTCTCAGGGATTAGATTTCAGTTCACTCCCATCTGTCCTTCCTCTTAGGGTCCAAATCTAGCATCATCACCAAGCTCGATGGCTGGTCCTCTCCTCCTCTCAGCTCGCAGAGACTCTACCGCCCAAGCTTCTCCCTTCTCGGTCCGTCTCCCCTCACTACAACCTCGGGTCCCAGCTCCCACCCCTCCTCTCCACGCCGCCCTCCGGGGTCTCCACTCTCGCTCCTCCCTAGGAGTCCCGGAGCAGTCCTCCCCTCAGGATCACCCTCGGACCTCCTTAACTCTGAAAGAGACCTTAGAGGTCGTCGAGTCCGATTCTCCTCCCACGTCCCGATCTCCGCTCACGGCCGCCTGCCCCTCAGATCGCCCGGACCCGACCTCTCCCTAGGGCCCGGTCTGATCGAAGCCCTGAGCCAGGGGAAGCCCCACTTGCTGAGGGGGGAATTTCCGCCTGAGGCCGCCCCACGCTAGTGGATCACACTTACTGAGGAGGCCGCTGCCGCCCCGGGCCGTGGTAGGGAGAGTGCAGGAGGTGAAGGAGCTGGAGCCGGGCCAGGGGCATTCGCTGCTCCGGTCACCCGAGGGGCTAGCGAGACCCGTACCCTGAGGGACGGAGGCGACCCGGAAATACACAAACCGGAAGTGATAAAGATGGGCTGGGGCTGCGCGCGTAGGAAAAAGGGGGAAGGCCAGAGCCCCGCCCGACGTGAGGCGAACACCCTCCTGGGAAGCGGGAGATGAGGCGGCGGTGGCGGCAGCGGCAGCGGCCTCTCTTTTCTGGCCGGTCCTAAGAGGGAAAGCGGTAGGGAGCCTGGGCGACGACCCGGATGTCAATGAAAAGGAAGTGACGTTTCTGAGCGACGACCTAAGGTTGTGGCGGTCTGAGTTGCCTTGGAAACCGGCCGGGTGGGGCCGGGGCGAAGGTCTGGTGCCCAACAGAGGGGCGCTCAGAGGCCTGTGTTGTTTCTTTTAACGTGCCACCCCATTACACACGCGGGGCTTTTCCCATTCACGACTTGCGGCAAATAACTTCAGAATTTGCAAATGTCTTGACGGAAATCTTTGTGTCCATTTGACTCCGACAGGAAGGAAAAACGGCGCTTTGTGAGTCCTAAGACAGCAGGCCAGTGAGGTCAATAAGAAGTGGTGTCCTCCCTGAACCTCCTGGTTCCATTTCACAGGACAGACCCATGGGGAGCGTGACTGTTCACCTCTGTATCCCTTAGCCAGGGCTGTCAATGTTAAAGTTCATTTAATATAAGAGCTGGCCAACACCCTAGAGATAAAAACAACAACAACAACAAAAAATTCCCCGTGCCTCAGTTTCCTCGTCTGTAAAATGAGAGGATTGGACTTGATGGCCTGTAAAGGTCCCTTCCTGCTTTAAATCTATGTTCCTATGATGAACATCAACCTTCTCCTTGTACAGATAGGGTTACAGAATATACCCTATATATATATAACATAGAGGGAATGTACCTTGCAATAAGATCATACACAGTCAATCTCAGGACTCCTGACCTGTCATGTGCTCTTTCCATTAAACTGCAGCTACCTCCCTTAGATCTTCAAACAGAATACAGAATAGGTATTACACATATTTACATCTACATACTCTATAAATTGATTATACAAGAAGTTCCAAATAAACATGAAGAATATAAAAAGAGCTAACCCTCATCAAACTGATCTACCTAAAACTAATATATAAAACAGTTAAGGTCCTCCAGAGCAGGGATTGTGTGTCACTTTTATATTTATGCCCTCAGTCCTTAACAACTTAACCTGGAATTTAGGTGCCAGAGGGATAGGGACTGGACCTGTGATTTCATTAGAATATCAAATTGGTATATCCTTCCAGAGGAGGGAATTCCATCTACAAATGCAAGTTGACCCCTTCTCTGCAACTTAAGGTTTTAGAGTTGCCTAGAGCACTGGAGAGGTTAAGTGACTTGTGTTCAGGGTCAAATCACCAGTAAGTGTCAAGGCTGGGACTTGAAGCCAAGTCTTTTTGGCTCAGAGGCTCACTCTATTTACTACCCTACATTGCCTCTTTGCCCCGAACAAAAATGCTTATTAACATTTAATAATGGGAGCTTCCTAATGGACCTTCTGGGCCTTAATTGTCACCTCCATAAAATGAGGAGTTTGGAATAATTGAACTAGATAGTTTCTAAAGTTCCCTATCAGCTCTGACATTTTTGGTTATATTTCCTAAGATGCCTTCTTTCTCTGACAGCCTGTGACTTGAAGCACAATTTTACTACTTTACATGCTAATTAAGGTTTACACTTTCTTTGTATCCTTGATTTCACATTGCATTACTGTTAATCATATTTGGTTTTATTTTAGTGTCTTCCAATCTATGGGCCATGGGTCCCAGGTTGGGGGATGGGAATCATGGAGTTATGGCCAGAGGTTCATTTTATTAAATTGCTTAAATAAGAAAACTGCAAATTAATAAATAATAAGCAATCTGTTTCATATTTCAAATGTATGTAGGTGCTGTTGTGAATAATATACTACAGATTCATTTAAAAGTATTACTGAATCCATTATTGTTTTTTGTCACTGTGTTCTAAATCAACAAATACTATGTTGAAAGGGGGTCCTCATACTATAAAAGGTTAGAACCTACTGTTTTATTTGATACTGAGGCCTTGGGTAGGGACACAGCCCCCAGTTAAAAGAGTTCCTGTGGGAAAATATCTGCATTTTTTGATGGTTGATTTCTGGGAACACTGGTGAAAAACTGGAACCACCTGTAGTTTTCTGACACATGCTAGGTTTCAAAATGGTTATCTTGTGTGGCATCCTCATCTGAAAGGTGTGAGGCAGTGGTGTCAAACTCAAATAGAAATGGGGACCACTAAATCATACATAATGGTCCCTGTGGGTGGCAGACTGACTTAGAAAATAAAATATTAACATGTTTTATTTTTATTTTTTGTTAAATATTTCCCAATTACATTTTAATATGGTTCAGGAGTATTGTGGGTCACATGCTTCCATATCTGCCACCTCTGGTATCGTGTAAGGATCATAGATTTAGAGCTGCAAGAGATTTTTTACATCATCTAGTATTATAGGAGTTCATAACCCTTTCTGTCATGGACCCTTTGGGCAGTCTGGAGAAGCCTATGCACTTCTTCTCAGAGTAATGTATTTAAATATATAAAAGAAAATAAATAAGATTATAAAGGAAATCAATTATATTGAAATGCTGTTGCCAAAAAAATTTCTTTTTGAAAAATCATTGAGTTCATCAACCCCAGGTTAAGAACCCTTGGACTAATCAACGTCCTACAATTTATAGACTCGATAAGTGGCATTCAGATTTCAAATCCAGCCCAACTCCAAAGTCAATTTTCATTCCACTATACCATACTGCTTCTCTATTCATAAAGTTCAGAACAGGTGATACTTCTCTAGTGAGCTATGAAACCAAACCTTCCCTTATTGCTGTGCTGTTGGCTCAAGTAGAGCTTGATTTAAGCTCTTGTACACATGATTTCCTATACTGCTGATGCTCAAAGAAATTCCATATAGGACAAAAACTTTCCTTCAAGCTAAGTTTATCCATTTCAATAAATTATTGAAGTCATTTTCCTTTTCTTGGTCTCAGTTTCCTATCCCATAAAGGGAAGGGACTGAAAACTAGATAAACTCCAAGGTCCCTTCTACCTCTGAAATTCAGATTCTACAACATTTCATTCTTGGCACTTACCATACAGAAACCTTCCTATGAGTAAGTGTGAAGCAGCATTTCCATCCTGGACTGCCAAAACAAAGGGAAGGGATTATTGCCATTGAGCTTATATACATATGACTTTCCAGTTTACAAAGTGCTTTCCTCACAACACCCCTAAGAGGTAAACAATGAACATATTATGTCCTGATTTCAGAGTTTGAGGAAACTGAGGTAAAGTGAGAGAGAGAGGGCCCAAGGATGTAATAGCTGATAAGTGAAGAAATTAGGATTTAAATTCATACCATGATACCTCTAATGATAAGAATTTACCAACCACATGATTTTGGGCATCTGCTAAAGCCCCTTCTGAGGTTCTATTGTGGAGTAGCTATAGATTTCTGAAGGTTGTGTCAATGGAGCACAATATGCTCAAAGCCAAGTATGGATTCAATGACAAATGTGTATGTCTGGCACCTGAGGACCAACCTAACTTTAGAGATGCTCACCACCAGAAGGTGGCCTGTCAGGTAATAAATATTTAGGACACAAGAAAGACTATATTATATACTAAGGTATATAGGTGTGATCTGCCAGGGGGTGGGGGGTGGCAGAACACTCATACCCACAAAATCACAAACCTCTTAATTATTAAAGTAGCTTTAAACATGTGACTTCACTTCTCTGCAAAAATTTCTGACATCTATTTCACATAGTCGTAAGAATCAGTTACAATAATGGATTGTGTAGTATTTCAAAATACAATTTTAAAAATCAGTTATTATTATTATTATTCATAATTACCAATAGCATTTCCCCACCTCTCCCAGTTATTGTTCTCCAGGATATACCAAATATTCTTACCTATGAAACTATAGTGAGGAAAGTCCAGGACTTATGATTTTCCCTTTTGGGAAATGATTTTTCCACCATGTGGTCATCTCTCTCAGAATATATTACATAACAAATAGCAAGTTATATAATTATCATACAATGCTAATTATGTACCCCTACTTAGTATAGTTGATAAAATGAAAAATCTACATACTTCTTGCTAATGAGAACTTAACTATTAGGTTGTACCCTATTTGTTTTGGGGGGACCCTGGGGGTAGAGAGGAAAGACCTATTTATGAAGCCTTTGTTCAGAGGGATGTGTATCAGGGAATACTGCACAAGCAGTATCCTGAAGAGGAGTGGAGCACAGAGTAGTCTCAATGGAGATGCTGCAGTAGTATAGCCGCTGAGCAATTACCCCCTTGCTTAGAGGCAGCTGGTAGAGTGCTGGACCTGCAATCAGGAAGACCAGACTTAAAGTCTGGCCTCAGACACTTACTTACTAGCTGTGTGCCCCTAGTCACTTAGCCTCAGCTGGCCTCAGTTTCCTCAACTGTAAAATGGGGATAATAATAGCACCTACCTCTCAGAGTAGTTCTATGGATCAAATGAGATAATATTTGTAAAGTGCTTAACACATAGTTCTTGGCACATAGTAGGTACTCAGTAAATGCTTGTTTCCTTCCTTTCTTTGCAGACTTCAATCTAGAAGCCTAGATTAGCTTCTTTTGAAATCTGGGGAAGAATATGCAATTGGGTAGCTATTGAAAGGGCTTTCTCTAGGAAACAAGATTTTCACTTATTGACTGTGATTTGATAGAGGTTCCTTGAAAGCAGACTTCCTTGTATTCATTAAGGAGTATTAGTAACACAGTGTCTTCCACAAAGAAGAGATTCAATAACTACCTCGTATTGGTTTACTGAATGAACCTCTAGATTTTGTAACCAATAGCATTTATTTCCATTTCTTGGAAGTCTTTTTAAAACATTTTATTTGTTTGTTTGTTTTTAAGTTTTCAACATTCACTTCTATAAGATTTTGAGTTCTAAATTTTCTCTCTCTCCCTCCGCTTCCTACTCCCCAAGATGGCGTCCAATCTGATATAGGTTATGCATGTACAATCATATTAAACGTATTTCCACATTAGTCACGATGTAAAGAAGAATTAGAACCAAAGGGAAAAACCACAAGAAAGAAAAAAAGAGAGAAAGAAAATAGTATGCTTCAATCTGCATTCAGAC